GTTTCATCGAGTGGTCGCTGTACTATACGTCGAATGTGTGTTTTCATTTCTTATTCAATTGCGGGAAACTCGCACCGAGAATAGAGAAGTACAACACACTATTGCTGTGCTCGTGCCATTAATGGAGCCATTTACGAAGTGATATGTGTCAGCTATTCAATGCGATGACTTGTCATACGCGGGCTAGAAATAGAAAATGTAAAGACAAAAGCAATTAGAAATATTAGAAATTCTATGTCTGGCACCCACAGAGGGGTCAGACCTGTGCGAAACAGCCCAGAGGTCAGACACTCGAATACCAATAAACGTATCTGCAATCAGCACTTCAGCTCTAGTGTGCATGTGTATTAAGCATGTGTTCAGCGGTAGATTGGTATCCATAAACGTATCCCAATATTTATTGGGCCTATTTGTCCTATGCCTGATCTCAATGTCACTACGCCAAAATGTCGGCTCTCGGCGGCTTGCCAGGACGCAAGCAACGTAACTTTCGACCTTCATACATACTATTTTTTTGAGCTAGAGTTTGTATTTGTCATCGTACACACATTGGTGAATCAGCCGACCATGTCTGTCGCCTCGCTTCAGAAATCTCGTGTGTGCCAAACACAGACTTTTCGATTCTCCACAAGTCACCGGAGGATGGCGGTAGCTACCTACCCGTGCAGTTGTAAGTTCGCGATGGATTGTCTTAGACGCAGATTTTGAATTGCCTCCTTGGCTTGACTCCTCAATCATACAGCGAGATATGTGTTGACCACGTTCCAGTGAGACTTTTATGGGGTCACTTACTTAATCTCATATAGGATTGCGAGCCTCACAAAGCCAATTCCGAGCTCTGCTTCATCCTGCTCAGGGGGTAAGTCGATGTTCCACCCATATCTAGATCAAGCGATACCTAGATAGTAAATCGCCAGCCCTTTTCTAGCCCAGATACTAAACTGTTCCTCCACTTCTGAGACGGACAAGCACCCACGATTACAAAGTCTCTTAGTATAAAATCGAGGGTCCTGACAGTTCTATATTTGGTTTCTCTTCCCGCCACTATGCCTCAAAATATCTATTTTTTTTTGACGGGCGGAGAAGAGCCTGAAACTCTTGTCATAAGTCCATTGCTACCTTATCACCACAAATATGGTACTAGTGCCTTGCGATTCGGCGGGAAGTCAGAAAAGTTTCTTCTATACCACAACTGCGATTGGTACGCTCCCCAGCCCAGATTGCTAATCACAAATGAAATACCCAGCATCCATGTGTAGTTTGCGAGACCCGTCGCCACGTATATGGATGTGTAGATGAGAATCTCGGCGAAATAGTGCGGCGATGAAACATAGGTAAACCAGTCACCGTGCGGAACATTGTACCTGGGTATGGTAGGTTGAAAAAACTGGTGAGGCAACGAACCATAGAGCATGCACAAATCTGGGCGATAGTAAGAGATGCAGATGTTTTGCTGTACAATGTGGGCTAGTTGAGAAAAAGACAGATACATAGTTTATGCAAACACCGTGGACATACTGGTCATTGAGTGCGTCAAGCATGCACGGGTCGGGGCGGGATGAAAGTGGCAAAAGTGAGCACACAAACCAATGTTACGGTGAATCGCTCTAAGTTGGTCGTAGTCCACACTTGTGTGGTCGTGGAATAGCGACTGTATCCCACTGGTGTTACATTGCCGACGGAAATACAATTCCTGCGGCAGCCAGCAATCAATAGCTTCTTCTGATGTAGGGATTTTTTACATATTTTTGCTAGTTAAGTATGTAATGTTAAGAATATACCTGGACACGGGTTTCGAATCGTCTGTCTTTCTCTCGCCCTGCATGCGTAACTTGAACAAAATTGCATGACACTCGTATTGGTGTCGAGACGCCCAGCAGAAGAGTGACAATCCGCTAATAGCGCAGAAACCCCCGACGAAATCTGGTATATTAGATACAATCGGTAGTGGTCTGGTATGAGAAGTGTACGCAAAAGCATGTATGCACTTATAGGTACAATATATAGACACTCCCACGTGTAATGAGTGTGTATTCCTATATGATATGTACATCAACACGTGTAAAAGCTGCTGTACAAGCACCAGAAGTTGGTATCAGTAATTTCGATTTCTGCGTAAAACATGGTGACTATTCGCACTGGTGCGTACCCAGGTCCTGGTCGGTTTCACGGGAGTTCAGCTCCAGTAGCAGAGAGAGGCAGCAGAGGGCGTAGAAGCCCATCCCCACTATATAGTGTGCCACATGCATACTGGACGCTTTCAAGCCAGAATCTGTCAATATTAAAAAGGGATTTACATTTCAGTAACACTTGACTACGCTTGTGGGCTTACGAATTAATAGGAAACCAAAACACGAGAAACTCCTACTTCAGATTGAAGGGACTGCGATTTCTAGAAGCATTTGTGGCGGGCTACGAGCGATTATGTATCAGAAAACACAAAACGATATATAAAGACATCACATATATACTGAAATAAATACATTATAAGGGTACTGAA